GAAAGCATGGGGGTGAGGGAAGGCAGAAGGGACATGACCTCAAGGGCACTCTGTGTCTGTGGGGCTCCGTGCAGGAGCCAATGGGGCAGGAAGGGTGAGGGATAGGGAGGGAAGGGTCTACCCTGCAAACCCCGGGATTCTCTCACCTTTGCCCCTGCCCTTGCAGAAGCTTCGTCCCCAGGACCTAAAGAGTCTGCTTGGGGAGAACTTTCTGGAATGTGGAGCCTCTCACACCATGAGGTCGTGCAGGCCTCTGTGACAGCTCACAGCTCAGAAGACCAGGCAGCCATTGGACTGTGGCCTCTGGCGGGAACCCCAGGCCCACCCAACAGCCCCACAACCCTACCACCAGGCAAGGACCTTCTCAGACTCCCCGTGTGGTGCCCTTGGTCTTTGAGGGGCCTGCCTATAAGTGGGGGAGCAGATTACCCAGGCATGTTGGGGGCTAGGGGAAGGCAATCCCTGCATACTGAGGGGTCCTTCCTCAGTGGTATCTCAACTTGAACCCCTCGTTGTTGCCCCCACAGCCCAGCCCAGCTCCAGAGCTGAAGGGGGACCCCACAGCATGCAGCCCGCTCTCATCTCTCTAGTGCTCCTTACACCCCAGCTGCTATCGCTCTGAGGCCGGGCCTCGACACCCCAAGGAGCTGGTCATGAGGCCTCCTCATTAACAGCTAATTGCGGCATGCGCTGGGCCTCGCAGGGGCTTTGCCAGGATTACACCTGTTGACAAGCTGTGGTGGCCCCGGGGGACAGGAGCAGTGTGGGTTACAATTCCCTCTAACAAATAAACCCAAAACCTGCCTTCACAAAGTTGCTACGTGTGGCTGTGGTCATGCGCAGGGTGGGTCCCAGTCCCCATCTCTCTCCTAGACCCCAGGGGCACACAGTGACCTGACCTCCCCAATACAGGGGTAGGGAGCAAACCCCCCCATCAGTTGAATATTTCCCACAATAGCCCCTGAGCACATGGAAGCACGTGTGGGGATCAGTGTGAAGGCTGTGTTCCCACCTTGCCCCATACCCTTCCAAACCATAACCCACTGCCATCCGGTGAATACCCACAGGGTTCCCAAGGCCATCAGTCTTTATGCCAACACCACCTCAGCTTTCTCTCAAGAAGCAGCTGGTAGGCTTGAACCACCAACCTTTTAGTTAACAACCCAACATTTAGCCCACTGCATCCTTCCACCCCACACACAGCTAACATGTAGGACAGAGTGGAACTGCGCCATACTTTCCAATGCTGTGATACTTGAGGAATCCGAGTGTTTCCTTTTTCTCTCCCAGACAAACTTTTTATAAGAAATCGAGTGCTTACGCACTGTACAAACCAGGGTCCTTTAATGATGCCCCTCACTCCTGGTGCTCCCCAAGGCCAGCTCACTCTCAGAACAGGGGTGGTGGTGGTGTGTGTTCTCGAGTTGATTCTAACTCACGGTAGAATGACCTTGTAGGCATCCCGGGGCTAGGCCAGGTGACACTAGCCTAGGTATTCACTTGCCCCTCCTGACCACACGCCTAAATGCCAGTCAGAACCCTGAGCGGAACCTCATTTGGGAAATGAGTCCTGCGGGTCTGGGATTCAAACCCACCAGCCACAGCTCAGGAGAGGGAAGAGACATTCTGCTTCCATAAACACTTCCAGCCCTGGAAATATTATGAGACAGTCCCACTGTGTCCTGTGGCAGTTCAGGGCCACGGTGGGGGGGACTGCTGTGCCTCTTCCACCAGGACAATCCTGTGTCCTCCCCGCCAGCTGGCCCAGCACACACCTACCATGGAGCTGCTGTCTCGGATCAGAGCAGCTTGTTTGCTGGGCTTCAATATCTGCTTCTCGCCATCTCTTCTGATAGACAGATTGGGCTTGGAAAACGGGGATTGCATCTTCTGAAGGAGCTCTGACAGCCTAGTGGTAAGGAGTTGCTCTGCCAACCCAAAGACAAGTGGTTTGGATCCACCAGCTGCTCCATGGGAGACACAGGCAATCTTCTCCCGTGCAATTTACTGCCTCTGAAAATGCACTGAAGGGCTCAGCTATGTTGGCTTTGACTCGATGGCACATCACAAGCACTGCTGTAACAAGGGTCCCACAAGTGGGTGGCTTAGCAAGCATAAATGTATTCTCTCAAGGGGAAGAGACTAAAATTCATGGTGCCAACTTTATGGGAGGTTGGAGATCCTGGTTTCTTCAGCATCTGTAGGCCCAGCATACCTGGGAGACCTCTGTGGGTCTTAGCTTTCCCTGATGTCAAGGAACACAAGAATGTGGGGCCAAAGCATGCGCTCCACTCCTGATGATTCTTACTGATACTGAAGTTTTGCTTTTTCTGCTCACTTCTCTCTCCTTCAATTTCTTGTGAGATAAAGGCAGTACCCAGGGATATTGCCTTGACATGAGATCAAGACTGGGATGGAATAAAAGAGCTGCATCCTGTCCTTAATCTTCTTATAACTGCTTGGTTTATCTGTTCATGGAGGTCCAGGAGGTACCTCCCACATTCCACCATGGAAGACACACGTTTAGAGGGACATAATTCAATCCATGACAAAGTTCAATGACTAGTGAGTGTCCTGGGGACAGAAAGAAAAACCTGTGTGACCACGGGGATAGAGATCGAGTGATGCAGTCACAAGCCCAGGAGCACATGTGGTTACCAGGAGCTGCTCGGAAGAGGAAGACTGTCCCCTCAAGTCCTTGTGCCTGCTGGCACCCTAAATTCACATCTTGGGCCTCCAGAGTGTGAGCGAATAAATGTCTGTTTCAAGCCCCTTTCTGTGGTTCTTTGTTATATCTGCACCCCGCTCCCAAATGCTCACAGGGCGTCTGTCCTTGAGGGTGAGTGTGGACCACAGCAGGACTCAGTGGCTGTACACCCCTCCAGGGAGTGAGGGCCAGCAGAGAGGAGGTGGCCAGCTTGGGGTCAGGGCAGGGGACAGGCAAGAGTTCCTGCGGGCACATGGGGTCCCCAGCCGCCTGCGTCCTTGTCTGGCCCCAAGCCCTCCCCAGTGTGTGGGAGCCATCCTCTTGGGCACAGACTGGGAGCCATGCACACGGGAAGCGGGTGGTAAATACTCACTAATGATGATGATGAAATAATTTGCAAAACGTGGAAGCACAGACCACGGAGGCGTCATGGTTGGCACAAGAACCCCCAGGGCCCCTGGGAGAGACTGTAGTAATGAGAGCACTCCAGGGTCCATGCTCTAACTCCACCTAGGACGGCAGATGAGCCCTGGCCCCAGCCTCAGGAGAGGGTCCAATCAATGCGAGTGTGTGAAGATAGGTGTGGATGTATGACTGAGTGCGTGTGTGTCTGTGCTTGTAAATGTATGCTTGTGTTGCAGACAGAGGGTAAAAACCCAGCTCCCCTGAGCCTTAATTGAAAATTGCCAGGGAGAAAAATCACAAAAAGAATTCTATGCAAATGAAGCTAAGCTCTTTCCATTGAAAACCTTATGCTTGACTCAGGAGGGAGGGATTAGAAAATATAAGGTTTGCCTTAATGCCTACCCCTGTAAACATTTAAGGTTTGTCTTTGTGCTTCAGGGGGAATTCCTGCTTGTATCTGTGTCTCCCTCATATCCTGATATAGCATTTGGTTTATCATAAATATTTAATATGAAATTTGGCTTCCCACATGCATGTGTAAGTATGCAAATGTGAGTGGTATGCATGTGTGTAAGCAGTGATGTGTGTAAGCAGAAGCAAGTAAGACAGTGTATGTGAGAATTCATATATGTGGGGGGAAGTTCATAAGTGGAGGGAGAGCATGTGTGAGTGTGTGTGTATGTGAAAGAGAAAATGTGTGTGAAATCATGGCTGCATGTGTGAGAAGGTGTGAATGTGTGTATGTGGGCATGTGTGTAAAGGTGTGTGATAGTGAGGGGTGTGAGTGCACTGTGTGTGAGTCTGACAACCTGTCGGGATGTTACAGTGTGTGAAGATTGCCAAGGGGCAGAATCTGAAGAGGCAAGGAGCTTCCCCAGAGCAGAGAGAAAAAGCCTTAGCCTAGAACCGGTGCCTTGAATCAGGCCTCTGACCTCTCACCTGGTGAGCCCTGGTGGCCTAGTGGTAAGAAGTGGTGCTGCAATAACAAAAGCACAGGAGGTTCAAATTTGCTCTGTAGGAGAAAGATGGGCAGTTTCCTCTTGTGTGATTTACAACCTCAAAAATTTGTCAAAGTCATCTACTGGGAGTGTTGCTGTTACAGCAGCACTAAAGAACCGAGACATCAACTTCTCTTGTGACCTCTGGATTTTTCTGGAAAGTCCCAGGGAAAATGGGTCATTCAATGTATAACTGGAAGCAACAGCTAAAAATAGCCGTGCTTGGGGTCACTGACTCTCAATGGGAATGACGTTTGCGCAAACTGCTCCTCAATGTGACGCAAAAGTGGCCTAGGAGTCCTGCAAGGGGCTCCCCAAGGCCAACCAGGGTTCCTCACGGGACCCCAGACCCTGCAAGTGAGCCACCAGGGCGAGAACTTGCCCCCTCCTTTCCTCTCCAAAGTTTTATTTGCTTCAACATCCATTACGCTTGGACTTTTCATTCAACCACAATTGAACTACTGCTGTGTGTAGAGGGCTCTATTCTGGGTTCTGTGTCAGTGAGTGAAGCGAAGTGTACACGGCTCGTGCAAGCTCCCCACGTGCAGTACCTGGAGCCCATACCTGGCTAACAGGTAAAAACTAGAGGAGTGAATGAAGTAGAGACGCCCTCTGAAGACAGACAGGATCTTGCACTTTGAACAGATCTCATTAACGCTGCCTCTCTCACCCCAGGGGAGGCGAGAAACTCAAAAAAGATGAGGCATTTGCATCCGCAAGGAGGAGCCGTGCTCGAGTCCGCCAACAGAGGGCGGGCACTCCTCCAGTCACAGGCTGCGGAGAAAAATACGCATGCGCCGCGCTGGGTTCGCTTTCCGGCAGCGTGGCGGAACATAGCTGGCCTTTTGCGCTGTGTAACGACAGTTGTGCAGGGCGAAAGTGCTGCTGTCATGGCGTCGCTCTTCAGCGGGGCGCTGAAGCTGACGGACCTTGATGACTTCATTGGGCCATCTCAGGTGGGTGACTCAGGGGCATTTGAGGGGTGAGGACCCCTGCCTATGCTCCAGTGTTTCCGGTGGGGAACCTAACCTGTGCCCTGAGAGACTCCGGAGACCCCCTGTGCCTTGTTGGTTGTCACTCGGCCTCTCAAGGCCACACACTTAGGAAGGCGCCGCTCCCCGACTCTACTGGATATACTGACGCTCTGAGGTGTCTAGCTGTTTGCCTCTGAGAGCGGGGACATGGGATCGGACCCAGGACCTCCCCGTGCTCACGTTTACGGGAAGCCTCCCCACCGTCCGCGGGGCAGCACGCTCCCCGATGGAGAAGCGGACTGTGACATTCCACCCTGGTTATTACGAGCGCAGGCAGACGGTCCGGGAGAAGCATTCCCAGAAGCTCAGATCCTGGGGTGGGTTATGAGCGTTGCATGGGAGGAGGCCAGATGCCCCCCTACAGAGGTCGTCGGCGGAGCCCACGTGGCACCCATTCCGTGAGGTGATGAGGAGCCTGGAGCTGCCCCACAACACTGTGGGTGGGGACCAGCTCGGACATCCCGCTCACCGGGCCTACGGACAGGTCATCTCAGGGTGGGCAGCGCAGGTGTCTAGTGATGTGAGGCCTCCAGACAGGAGAGAGCAGTGTCTTTCGGGCCCTGGGCTAGGAGGAGACCAAACGTTGCCTTCCTGTTGAGCTTCTGCCTATTCAGACCCGGCTTGACATCTTGTCCCAATCAGGACTGCATCAAACCCATAAAGGTGGACAAGAGACCTGGGAGCAGTGTGGCCAAGATCCACATTGAGGATGACGGAAGCTACATCCAAGTGAGTCAGGTAAGAGATCCACCTGCAGCATCCACCCACCAAGGCCTTACCCATCTCGTGTGTGGGGATCCATCCCACCATGGTCCGGAGTGGGGAACCCCAGGAATGCTGGCTTGTGCCCTCGGCCAGGGCCTGCTTTGTAAGAGGCCTTTTCTCTGGACTCCCTAAGCACTGTGGCTCAAAATCCTTTGCTCCAGGCCCTTGGCTCGTCATCTGGAGTGGCCTCGCTCTCTCCCCTGCAGGATGGGGGAACGAGGAAGCTGGAGAGAGCAAAGATCTCACTGAATGATTGCCTGGCCTGCAGTGGTTGCATCACCTCAGCTGAGAGCGTGCTCATCACACAGCAGAGCCATGAGGAGCTCCGGAAGGTTCTCAGAGCCAACAAGGTGAGCAGTGACTGGTGAGTGGGCTGAGAGCTGTCAGCCTGGTACGGCCAACGCGCTGTCATTCACCTGTCACTTTGAATATGTGTGGGTGTCCTTGGTGGCTTACCTGCCAGCATCCTCCAGCACCAGAAGAACTGAGCCAAACACGGAGTTTACTTCTTTGTCAACCTGTCCCATGGGCTGAGCTAACACCAGGCACCCTATACGGCCATCCTGTCAGTATTTTGAGCTGTCAGTGCACCACTTTGCTGCGTTAGAGATGAATGGTAGGCACAATCTACTAGCCGGTCACAGGGTTGCCCAAAGCCATGGCCTAGTTACTCAACAGAGTCCTGCTCAGCCGTGAAGAGAAATCTTGTCTCAGTATCCTCACCACATGAATGACCTCAGAAGCCTTATTCTCTCTGACAGAGTCAGACACCAGAAGACAAATGTATAGCCCCACTGAGATAAACATCGGTGACAGGCAGGCACATCAGACCCAAGTTGGTTAGTTGTTAGGAGCTCTACATGGTGAAAGGTTAGCAGTTCAAGCACCAGTTGTGCCATGCAAGAAAGATTGGCAGTCTTGTCCACAAGGATTTACAGCTTTGGGGACCTTTGGGAGGGTCACTGGGAATCAGAATCAAACAAGGGCAGTGGGTCGGTCCCAGGGACTGGAGTGGGTGGTGCTAACGCAAGATGGGGATTCTGGTAAGTTGGTGTCAAGTGCCATTGAACCGGCTCCCACTTTTAGTGGCCCCATGTACAATGGAATGAAGTCTTCCCAGTCCTGCCATATCCTCACAGTCTGCTGTGTTGAAGCCAACAGCAGCCCCTGCATCAGTTTATCTCATTTCAAGTCTTCTTCACCTTCACTGGGCCTTTACTTTCAAACCATGATGTTCTTCTCCAGGGACCGGCCCCTGATTACGTGACCAAAATACTTGAGACCAAGTGTCACCATTTTTGCTTCTAAGGAGCGGTCTGGACACACCTCCTTCAAGGCATATTGGTTTGTTCATTTTCCCATCCAGTCTGTGGTCAGTATTCTTCACTGACACCACAGTTTTCTCATCTCCAGAGAGGAGATGTGGAGGTGGACGGCTGTGTTGGTGGCAGTGTGCAGTGATTGTGGCCACTAAACTATGCAGGTGGTAGAAACGGCAAAGATTTTGGCCTAGCACTCTTGGCACCAGCAGCCAGGAAATCAAAAAACGTATTGCGATGGGAAAGTCTGCTGTTAGCGATCTCTCTAAAGTACTCAAGAGCAACGGTGTGTCTCTGAAGACTAAGGTGTGCCTGATACAGGCTATGGTCTTTGCAGTCACTTGTTACGCATCAGAGAGTTGGACAGTGACTAGGGAGGATAGAAGGAGAACCAATGCCTTTGAGCTGTGGTGCTGGAGAAGAGTATTGAATGTACCATGGAGTGCCAAGAAAACAAACAGATTCATCCTGGAGAGGGTTAAACCAGGCTACTTCTTGGAGGCAAGGATTCTGGGACTTCATCTGACATACTTTGGACATGTTGTAAGGGACAGGTCCTTGGACATCATGCTTGGGAGGGTGGAGGGACAGCGCAGGAGAGGAAGACCCTCTATGAGGTGGACTGATTCAGTGACTGGGGTAATCGGGATGGGTGTATCAGAGGCAGTACGATTGGCACAGGATAGAGCAGGGTTTAGGGCTGTTGTACATAGGGTCGCTATGAGTCGCAAGCGACTCAACAGCACGTAACAACAATTACACCGTGAAAAAGAGAATATACACACATGTTAGGGAGCTCTGGTGGTGCTGTGGATTAAGCATTCAGCTGTCAACCAGAAGTTTGGCCATCCAAACCACTCGCTGCTCCTCAGGAGGAAGATGAGGCTGTTTGCTTCCACAGGGACCCACAGCCTGAGACACAGTAGAGGGTAGTTCTGCTGCATTCTCTGGAGTTGCTGTGAGACAAGGTCCTATAACTTGGGGTCCCCCAGAGTCGAGATCTCTGGCTGCCTGTGGGACATGAACATGTAATTACCACACTCTCTCTCCTTCCAGGAGGCAGTGTCCAGTCCCCAGAAGCTGGTGGTTGTCTCGGTGTCCCCACAGTCCGTGGCCTCGTTAGCGGCAAGGTTTCAGCTGAATCCCACAGACACTGCCAAGAAGTTAACTTCCTTCTTCAAAAAGCTAGGTGGGTAGGCGCTGCTGCCAGGGGCTGCAGGGGCCCGGGCCTGAGTGGGAGGTCTGCACCTCCCGTTCATGACTCCTGACTCACTTCCAAACTTAGGGCTTTGGGACACTTCGTCACAGGAGTATCATCAGCTCCAAGTTCTGACTCCAGTGATAGCTCTGCCCTAAGGCAGGAGGGAAATGAGGGGTCACCCCCTGTGGACTCCACTTGAGGGGATGCTGAGTGGTTGTCCCACGTGGACTGGCATCTGGACGGCACATGAGGGGACGTTGACTGGATGACCACCAGAGTCCTGGGAGGTGGGCCTTGCCCTCCCACACCCGGCGGCATCCTGGGCTGAGCTGGCTGCCCACTCGCTCACAGGTGTACACTATGTGTTCGACACGGCCTTCTCCCGTAACTTCAGCCTCATTGAGAGTCAGTGCGAGTTCCTGCAGCGGTTCCGAAGCCAGAAAGATGGAGGACAGTCCCTGCCCCTGCTGACCTCTGCCTGTCCAGGTGTGGGGCATTCACAGGGCCCTCGGGAGGAGGAGAGGGAGGGGAGCTGTGACCTCCATTGGGCAAGGCCACCTTCCAGCCCCTGGGTGGGCTTGACACCCTGCAGGTCCACAGAGGGTATATCAGCGCCAGGGCTTTGTGTTGAGGGTACCTGCAGCTAAGGTTTGAGGTGACGTGGACAGCTCTGGACCACTATGGGACCAGTCAGATGAGGCCAGAAAGTGGCCCAGAGGTCCTCCTCTCAGCTGTTTTCACTTCCTGCAAAGGTGGTGGGCTGCCAAGAAGCTCCTTGTGACACAGCAGTTAAAACACTTGACCACTCACCAGATGGTCAGTGGTTCGAGCTCACTAGCTGCTGCACAGGAAGACGAAGCAGTGTGGGAGCCCCGGGGGGGGGGGCAGTTGTTCGTCTTGTAGTCAGAATCTGAATTGACTCACCGGTAGTGGCTTTGGTCTTCTTTGGTTTTAGCCTCAGTTCTAGTGTGATAGGAGCTCTGGTGGTGCAGTAGGTTAACTGTTGGGATGCTATGAAAAGATCAGTGATTCAGACCCATCAGCTGCTTCTTGGGAGAAGGCTGAAGTGGTCTGTTCCCGTAAAGATCTCGGCCTGTGGGAGAAGCTCTGATCTGCCTTAGGGATGGGATCCACTAGATAACCAGCTCTGGGTTGGGTGGGTGATGGCCCTCAAGCCACTAAAAAGATACCTGCAAGTGATGAGAGAACGGAGCATTCCTGTGTGGGTTCACCCCTAGATGCACAGCCACCTCTAGGTTGTCAAGAGAGGCAGTCCGCACAGCCACCCTCACGCCCTCTGCTCTGGCCCAGGCTGGATCTGCTACGCTGAGAAGACCCACGGCCATGTTGTCCTCCCACACCTCAGCACAGCCCGCTCCCCACAGCAGGTCATGGGCGCCCTGGTCAAGGACTTCTTTGCCCAGCAGCAGGTGACAACCAGGTGTGCGACCACCAGAAGTGGTCGCTAGGGTAGCAACAGACTGGTCACCTGTCACCTTCAGCACTGTGGCAACCCTGTGAACAGTTCTGTGCTGCAGGGTCTCTGGGGGCAGGGCTGACTGGGTTTGGGTTGGAGGTATCACATGGGCCCCGCAAACACAGTTTAGAGGCAGCATGTCTTTCACACAGACCACTGGGCAGAGCACTGTCCACTGGCGGGTGGGGGCAGGCCTGGTGGCCCAATGATGCCCACTCCACAGGCCGGCCAACTGACAAAGACACTAGGACAAGGAAGCAGGGAAGGGAGACTGATGGAGCAGGGCCCACTGGTCATACTGCTGCATCCTTGAGGTTCCCCAAGAGGATGGCTCCCCAGCTCTCCCTCCCTGCTTTGTTCTTGTCTGGCCTGTTGACTCCTCCCAAGACCATGCCTTGTCCATGCCCCTGCTTGCTCTGTTGTGGCCAGCCCAGCACAAGGTGCGCTGTCAAAGCAGCCCTAGATGCTGTGTCCTTTGTTACACGTAGCACCTGCCCCCAGACCGACTCTACCATGTGACAGTCATGCCCTGCTACGACAAAAAGCTTGAGGCATCCAGACCCGATTTCTTCAACCAGGAGTTCCAGACGCGGGATGTCGACTGCGTCATCACCACAGGTGTGATATGGCAGGGCGTGCTGCTTGCCCCCAGCAAGGACCACTGCCCACTCAGACCCAGGGCACAGGGACCATGGAGGGCAGACTTGGGTGGTCCAACCCAGTGGAGAGAGAGGCCTCCAAGAGCCGACTGCAGTCTGGTGGGTGTTGAAAGGTCAGCAGTGTATCTCATTCCTCTCAGGGGAGGTATTCAAGCTGCTGGAGGAGGAAGGGGTCTCATTCCCAGACCTGGAGCCAGCCCCACTGGACGTTCTGTGAGTTCCGCTCTGTGGGAAGGCTGGGAGTGCGTACTGTGGCTTGCCTGAGATCCTGCCTGGTCCTTTCTCCAGGCTACCCTCCCCTGGCTGCCCCGACCCCTGCCCAGCCCGCTCCCACCCACCTTCACCTGGCTGTCCTGACCCCCTGCCCGGCTCTCTCCCATCCCCCCCTTCCCTAGCTGTCCCAACCCCTGCCCAGCACTCTCCCACCCACCCTCCCCTGGCTGGCCCTCTACCATCCACCCTCTTCTAAGTCCCAGCTTCTGCACATAGCCAGGCAAGCACAGGTTGCCTCATGGCAGAAGTGTGTTCCCTGGGTGGCTCTGCAGCCACATTGACCACCTTATTCATCAGGTCCAGCTATGTGTCCACTGAGGAGCACACCAGCCATCAAGGAGGAGGCTCAGGGGGCTACCTGGAACATGTGTTCCGGCACGCAGCTCGCGAGCTCTTTGGAATCCATGTGGCTGAGATTACCTATAAGCCCCTGAGGTCTGTGGGTCCTAGAGCCTAGTTTCTGTGTGAGGGCCATGTAGGGTACCAGGGCCTCTCCTCAGAGGGATGCAGGCACTGCTTTCCAGCTGAGGCAGGGTGGTTGTATGTCCTGCTTCATCACCACCCTGTCCCAGCGTAGACTGAGGCCAGCAGCCTGTGCCCCGGGCCCCCCCATGGGAGCCCCATCAGCCTATGCCCCAGGCCCCCCATGGAAGCCTCCATCAGCCTGTGCCCCAGGGCCCCCCATGGGAGCCCCCATCAGCCTGTGCCCCAGACCCCCTATGGGAGCCTCCATCAGCCCTATGTCCCAGCCCCCAGTGTGGGAGCCCCACCATCTCTGTCCTTGCAGGAACAAGGACTTCCAAGAGGTGACCCTAGAGCGGGACGGACAGGTGCTACTGCATTTTGCTGCCGCGTACGGCTTCCGCAACATCCAGAACCTGGTGCAGAAGCTAAAGCGTGGACGCTGCCCATACCACTATGTGGAGGTCATGGCCTGTCCTTCAGGTAGTGTGGACATTGCCTGTCACTGCATGGAACAGTTGAGGGAAGGCCGGTAAGGGAGGGGAGTGAGTGTCATCTTGCATGCACCCCATCGTGTTCCCCCTCCCACAGGCTGCCTGAATGGTGGGGGGCAGCTGCGAGCCCCAGATGCACAGGGCAAAGAACTGCTGCAGCAAGTGGAGCGGCTGTACGCTTCGGTCAGGACTCAAGTACCTGAGGAGGCCCCGGGGGTCCGGGAGCTCTACGAGCACTGGCTGCAGGGCCCAGGCTCTGACAAGGCTGGCCGCCTGCTGCACACGCAGTACCGTGCTGTGGAGAGGGCCAGCTCTGGCTTCAGCATCAAGTGGTGAAGCTGTAGTCCACCTGCCCATAGAGAGCACCCAGATCACCAGCATCTCTGCCCAACCATCAGAGACATGTCAGGACAAATGTACTGTGGTTGGAGCTGGAACCTGGAAGCCAGCCTCATGGGCCAGAAGGCATAGTCCAGAAACCAAGGGTTGACCCTGGGCCCCCCTGTGGGGCACCAGAAACTTCCATGGGTAATAGCGGCCCTGTGGCCAAGGCCTTCACGTTCCTCAGCATGAGGGGAGCTTATTGACTTATGGAGCCATTCTCTGGAATTGAGGTTCCAAGGTTGTGCCAACATAGGAAACCCATGAGCAGGCAAAGGCCCCACCCAGAGCCAAACCTAGCACTTGGTGGGACATGTGTTCAGTGTCCTGGAGGTCAGGTGAAGGCCACACATACCAAGGTGCACACAGGCTGGGGCTTGAGTGAGCCATGTGTGGAGAGCCCAGGGTGCAGAACTTTGGGGAGATGGGCAGGGGATGCCAGGCGGCTGCACTGTGGGGCATTCTTCCAATAAAGGGACTTGTGCGGCTGGAAACATTTCATTTTGTAAAATTTTTTTGTTGTAATTTTGGCCAGAGCCACTCTGGGGAGCATCTGCTGGAATGAGAATGAGGTCTCCTGACAGCTTGGTTCGGCGCCCAGAGCAGCACACATAGAGCAGGTTCCAGGAGCCACACCATCATCTGGGTCAGCCACAGCACCTCCCCCAGGTCCCCAGGTGACACCTGCACCAGATTCCAGGCAAAAACCTGAGCTCCACCACTACCTAGGGTACCACAGAGCAGGTCCCCAACAACAGCCAGGCTTGTGGCAGACACCATTTGCCCTGACATCCGCCCCCACACACCACAGAGGATGATGGGCAGCGGTACTGTGTGCTGGGACACCCCAGGCTGATCACCCTGTGTCAGGGTGGGGTTGGAGGGGATGTCTGTATGCTTGGATATGGCCAGGCCCCTCTACAGGCCCTACCTTTCTGTGCTGGCAGTCTTGTCCTTGTTCTCCAGTAACTGAAAGTGTCAGGGCCTGGCTAACCTGCAAAGCAGGAGCAGCAACGCCTTGTAAAAACAGCAGGACCACCTATCTTGGCTTGACCATCTGTTCTGCAGAAAACAACTCCCGGAAGCAGTATGCTAATGAATAGGGAGTGACCAAAGGCCTCAGAATTCTAGGAATGTGATACCTTTTTGTTTTCCAATAGATATCATAGGATATCCCAGAAGATGTTTTGTGTTGAGGTCTGGGAATGTTTGATCTACCAGTCAACATCTCGGACAGATAAGAGATAATGCAATTACCCCTGCAGACATGTTCCTAAGACGTATATATACCCTTGCCAGAATATTAAACTTGCTATTTGTCATCAGCAATTAGCCTCTCCACTTCTTCATTTCAACCTGGTGCCTCCTTTTGGCGGAATTCTCCTGACATATCGGGGCTGGATCCCCGATATGAAAGAACCTGGAGTTAAAGAACCATTTGGGGGTTAGGGGTTGCTCCCCATTTTGAGGTAACAAATCCATTGTACAGGGTTCCCCACGCAGGCTCAGCCCCAGGGAAATGCGGCCCTGGGGAAACCAACAAACATGAATGAGTGAGGTGCATGAGGGCCAGTAGACAATCACTGAACAGCCGCGTGTCCCAGGTCAGTTATGCACCAGGAAGAGGTCAGAAGTGGCCCCACCACAGGAGAGGCCCAAGTGCCATGTGGGTGTGGGAGTGGGATAGTATATGTGCAGTTGATCCTGCCCATCCCAGCGCTCAGTCCACTCCAAGAGGCACACAGAGGGGCCTAGTGGGTGTGAAAGGGCAGTCATGAGTCCTCCGGGCAATGGCCTCACCCTGCACAACATACCCCATGCTCCCCAAAAGGTACAGTGGGTAAAATCTGCAATGCACGGAAGGGAAAACTAATGCCCAGAAATAAAACAGGCACCAGGTCTCCCCCAGTGAGCCCTGAACTTGTGGGCGGGGCCTGAGTCTCCTAGGAAGCTCACAGACAACAGCAGCCACAGCCTCCTAGCAACAGAACACCGACAGCCATCTCCCTCAAGTTCCTCCAGCCCATGGAGCGCAGGGTGACCGAAGGACCCAGACCAAGGCCCCCACCCCAGGCCACTGAGAATGTGAGTCGACCAGATGACACTGCTCCTGCCCTGGAGTCAGGTGCAGGTCCCCATTCTAGGACTGATCCTTGCCAGGAAAGGGGGTTGCTCCAGCTTGGAAGGACTGGGTAGAGGGGGCAGGATGACTGGCTGCCTGAGGTTTCATAGGAGTTGAAGCCTTAGTCAAATCTGAACCCACCTGGAGGGTGGAGGGGTGGGGTTTCTCCAGGTTCCACCAAGATCTGAGGACTGGCAGTCAGAGTCCCCAGGTAATGCCCCAGCCTGGACCACCAACCTTGAGCAAGAGCCATTGTCAGATCTGGAACTGAGGGAGACAGAAAAGTTACAGGTGGGAGCAATGTCCTGGGCACGAGCAGGAGAGGGGACACCTTCAGGGTCCCATGGGAACTCACACCCCACTGACCATGCCCAGATCTCCAAGGACCTGGTCGACTTGCAGCTGGCCACCCACCGCCTGCAGGAGCAACATGAGGCTGAGACCTTCCAGCTCAAGAGTGAGGTGGGCACCCGCTCAGGTGTGCCAGTACCAGGGTGGGTGGGGGTCACCTGAAGAGAAACATGCCGGAGGGTTCAGGCGTGTGGGTGGGCACTCCAGGTGGGTGTGCCCACACAGGCCCAGGTCAGTTCTCTCCACCTACCCCCTTGAAAAAGAGCAGCCAGCAAGGATCCTAGGGCACCACCAACCAGGTTCAGGGCTGCCTCCACCCCATGGCGCTGTCCACAAGCCAGGGCACTCTAAGCTGTCCCCATACTCACATCCAAGTGGTTGTCTGCTGGATCCAGTGGCCCACCTGCAACTGCTTACCTGGTCAACCTGCATGCAGATCCTGCGGCTAGAGAGCAGGGTGCTGGAACTGGAGCTTCAGGGGAAGCTGGCCAGTCAGGAGCAGCGCCAGGCATTGGCACAGGATGATTATGATGACCACAGACTCAAGTTTGCTGTAAGGACAGGAAGGAATTGATAAGTAGTCTGGGGGTACTGGGTGGGAGCCTAGCAGGGGTGGTGGGACACGGAACCTGTGCACCCAGCTCTCACACCTTCCTTCCTACACAGTCCCTGAAGTCCAGTCCACAGAAGCCAGGGCACTGTGTGTATGTGTAACCACATGCCCAGGCATTCCCAGTTGGATCATGACCTCGTGGGTGAGTGGGGGGGGTGAGGGCACAGTGTGCCAAGTGGGGAGCATGGACTCAGTGCCACCATCCTTGTGTGACCACAGCATCTGAGAGAGTTGGAGAGGGTGCTGGAGCTGCAAGGGGCCCAGCAGAGGACACTGGAGACACGTGTGTGAGTGATCACCTGGGATGGGACAGTTCAGCAGTTGTTGCCAAGGGGCCACGGGAGCCCTGGCTGGGTCCACTGACCTTAACCCATGTCTGCAGGACAGCCCTAGGACAGCAGCTGCAAGGAGCCCGAGAGGAGGCCAGAGTGGCTGGACAGTGGGTAACCACACAGGCCCAGGTGAGTCCTCTCTACCTACTCCCTTGAGAGAGCAGCCAGCAGTGATCCTAAAAGCACTATTAACCAGGTTCAGGGTTGTCTCCACCCCCAGGTGCTGTCTACCTGCCAGGACCAGCTCCGAGAGGCTGAGGCTGAGAATAGCCGGCTACAGATGCAACTCAAAAAGCTCAATGAAGAGTATGCCGTCCAACTGCAGCGCTGCGCCTGGGACATGGCTGTGAGCCTCTAGTCCCTGGGAGCTGGATTGGGCATGAAGCTCAGCTGAAGGGTCCCAAGACCAGTCTAGCTCTGTCTCCCCCAGAACTATGCAGACAGTGTCGGCCAGCTGCCAGCTGCTGTGTCCTTGAAGGCATTCCTGGAGGCAACCCTGGAAGACATCCGGGCTGCTCACCGGAGCCGTGAGCAGCAGCTGGCCAGGGCTGCTCGCACCTACAGAAAGCGCCTGGCTGAGCTAAGCCAGCGGCAGGAGGAGTTCCTTGCCCTGCAGGGGTACACTCTCTCCCAACAGGTGAGAGGAATTCCAGTGCATGTGGTCTCATGACCCAGGGTGTGGCTCAGTGTGCAGCAAGCTCTGTCCAGGGTATTGTCACCGGGCCCTGTTGTGGTCCCCAAGCCCCAACCTTGATTCTCTGGGCCCTTGAGCTGATGTGGAAGCACAGCACCATGAGGGAGGGCAGGATGAGGCTAGAAGTGGAGCTCTGGAAATTGCAGTCCCAGGTGACCCTCCCTGCAGTGTCCATGTGGATCAGAGACCCAGAACTACCAAGGGCTCCTCCCGGCTCTGCTAAACCCGACCCTAGGGCCTCTGAGTGGCTCCCTGTTCATCTGACTGGGGCCCCCCATGCAGCCTAGGAAGGGACCTGGGCCACTGTTCTTGTTCCTAAAGAAAACACCTGGTGAAACCTCTCTGAGCAGGACATCAGAGCCACAGTGAGTATCTTGAGAACTGGGGTCAAGGGAAGGGAACTAACTTCACAGACTTCCTATGGGTGCTGGGGGAATGGGAGATGACTTACTGTGCCCTGGGTAGAGCCCACCAAGGACAGGGCATCTCAGGTAAGATCCAAGAATGGAGGCAGGGAGGCTGGGTGGTTCAGCTGGCAGAATTGCTGCCCAGGGGTCCTGGGCAGTCTCACTTCTGGACCTCTGTACTCCCAACCATACAACTAAGCCTCCACAGACTGGGTCACCAGAATCCAGCAAGGCAAGAGGCTGTGCAGTTGCCCCTGGAGACCCTGGTCACTATCCAAGCTTGCCTTGTGGTTTAGCACTCTCAAACCAGCCATCAGGTCAACCCATCCTAAGATTTTCCCAGGTAGCACCTCGAGGCTCAGGGAACCTCATCAGAACTAGGTCCCCAGTCAGCATCTGGCTGGCACTTGAGGTCCCTCCACCACTGCAGGGTCCTGAATGGAACCTCCTGGGCCCAGATCCTCCAGAAACTCCAGGACTTCTCTCAAGGCACCCAGGTAGTAGATAAAGGCAGGGCGAGTGGGTCTCATCTGTGCCTGGGCTCACAACTCCTTTTCCACCCACCCCAGGCAGAGCTGGAACGGGAGCGGGCACAGCTGCTGGCCCGGGCTACATCGGCTGAGGCCCAGCTCTCAGAGCTACAGGAGTATGTGGACCAGCACCTGGGCAGGTGGGCTGAACCCAGAATGCACACGCAAACATGTGTATGTGTATATATGCCACTATTCCCAGCCAAGAAGCTAACTTCAGTGTGGCCTATCCATCAGGTACAAGCAGGAAATCTTGAGGCTGAGGAAGCTGGTAGGTGCTGGGGACCCCTTGAAACTGGGAACTATGCCACAAGCCCAGCCTGAGCACCCAAGGACCCACAGGTGCTAGTTCAAGAAAAACGGAGCAGATTCTTCTCAGCCAACAAAGGAGCCATCCCTGCCCCTCACCCGACCCCCATAAACAAGTCAGGGTAGAGTTGAGTCTTTATTTTATCCAACAGTCCCTTTTGAGAGCCCAAGACACTGGAGTCCATAGCCTCCCTGCTTGGACCATCACAGGGGACATCATATGCCCAGACTCGGTCCAGACCCTCACCCACCACAGCCACTGACTCCCAGGTTGGGAGGGGGAATCGTCCAGACACTACACGGGCCCCCCTGGGCAGCTCCACCTGCAGCTTGGATTCCAACATCTGGAGCTATGAACAAAGACATGGGAACACGGGCTGAGGTTTATGATCAGGACTGCGGCTAAGGCCAGGGCTTGGGCTTGGTATAATATTAAGATCAGAGTTAGTTTAGGGATGTTGTTGTTGTTGTTGTTGTTTAATGCCGTTGAGTCGTAGACGACTCATAGCGACCCTATGAATGAACAGCCTGAGCACTGTTCGTACATAGAGTTTCCAGAGGCAAGCCATTTTGGAAGTGGATGCCGCTCCTGCTTCCAGACTTGATTTAGTCGGGAAGCTCCAGCCAACACTGTCCACCATGGGTGCCCATTACCACGATTGGCACATCACTGTCACAGGCTTCAGCATCACAGCAACCACAAGTTACCTCTGTACAGCAACGCACAGACCAGTGCTATACCAAGTTTAGGGATAGTGTTAGAATTATTAAGATTAGTGTTTAAAATAAACTAGGCTTTGGGATTGGTTTAGTTTTAGAGTAAGGGTAAGGTGAAGATTAGGGTTAGGGATAGGGCAGGATGTGGCCTGAACCTACCACACTGGGAGCAAGGAACACAGACAAGTTGTGGCAGTCTCTCAGGCTGACCTGTGAAAAGAGGAAGTTACTCAGCAGGTGAATGCCCTCTCAGCCAGGGGAGAGAATGTTAAGAGTCACTGGGGTTTCAGAGGCCCCACATCCAGTGTGATCAAATAGCAGGAAGTAAAATGTGGGATCTGAAGATGCAAAACCCAAGCTTACCTTCCAAAGATCCTCGCGGAGGTAACACACCTTCCTGGCACAGCCTGCCCTCCACGCATGTAGCCGGGCCAGCCCCACTAACCACGGGTTCAGCTCATAGCCTACGGCTGGGCGGAGGCCACACCTGTAAGCTGCTAACACCTAAGGACAGGGAGTGGGCGTGGGGACAGTGGTGGGAGGAGGTGGTGCCACCAGAAGGGTCAGCAGGAATCAGCAACTCCGTCCCACCCTCTACATACACAGCCCTTACAATCCTGCCATCACCGGAGCCCAGATCCACCATCTTTCCAGGGCGGCCTCTCAGCAGCGACAGTACATTTTCCACCTGGCGTGCGCTCGCGCCCACATACGGCACCTATGCGAAGGGGCGAGGTTGGAAGGGCTAGAGCTTTCTTAGCCACGCCCACTCCAGAGCCTGGCAGCTTTGCAGACCACGCCTCCGCCCCGCCTCTGCAACCTTAGCCCGGACCAAGCTGGGCCCTACCTCGTGTAGTCCAGAGCCCAGTCACGGGCCTACCACGAGTGGGAACACACTAACCCCGCCCCTGACTCGCCACACCCGTAAGAATCTTAAACTTCACCTTAGACTAAGCAGGTCCCACCGTTAAGGTAGCTTTGGACCCGCCCCAGACTGGCCACACCCCGTATCATCTTAGCCCCGCTCCTAGATTCGGCCACACCTTAAAGCCGCTTTAGCCCCGTCCCATGCTCCGTCCTACTTCTGGTGCTGCTTTAGCCCCGCCCCTAGGCCAGGTCCTACCATTTGGCAGTCTTAGCCCCATCCTCCGCACCAGTCCCCTTCCAGTTTGCCCCAACACACACACACCTGCAACCGTAATGGCACGCGACGGAAACCTGGCTGCAGCACTAGGGCCCACACGGCGTAGGCGGCCAGGCCAGAGCCCGCCGCCACCTGCAGCAGCTCCAGCGCACTCAGTCGGCGCTCACGCAGCTCTGTCAGTGCCTCGGCAGGGTCATCATGTTCCATGGCTGCGGAACACGAGGGTCAGGGTCGCCCCGTCCTGAGGACCCATCCCAGCTCATATCTGAACCCCCCCAAGCTATGGCCTGAGAGCCGGGGGAAACTGCCCTAACTGCACCCTCATTACCTGAGGCCGCGGTGCCGGAAGTGAGGGAAGGGGCCGGGCAGGTGGTGCCGGAAGTGGCTGAGCCGAGCCCGCAAACTCGGTCCTTCACAAACTATACTCGGCTGGGGTGCAGGGGCCTTTCCGGAAGTTCCGATAGCCACAGCGCGCACCTGTTTCCCCAGGGCCATGTGGGTCTGGCCCCACCAGGCCCTACTGAAAAGCCTACGGGGTACGAGCATATTATTGGGATAGTTATTTGGGACCTGCCCTGGACACTGGGAATTCTCTTTAACGCACTGGACTAACTGAAATGTCAGCAGTTTGAACCCACGACCACCCACTCCACAGGAGAAGAATGAGACAATATACTTATGTAAGGATTACACCTCAGATACCCTACAGAGCAGTTCTACTCCGTCCTAATAGGATCACTATGCATCATAATAGACCAGAAGGCTAAGGGTCTGACTTGGGGTTTGGTTGTTGTTGTTCTGGGGATTCGCTGGAGCGCATACTCAGGTTCGAGGGAGAAAACGTCCCACAATCTGGTCTGAACACCCAGCAGAAACATGGTGCCGGCTCCCTCCAGGACTCAGATCGCAGCTCTGAGCCTAGCTTTGAGAATACAGTTCCTGCTGAGGCTGGCGACATCACGATCCCAGGAACAGGGCATCAGCGCGTGAGCTCGGTAGGGAAGGGTCTCCAAGGATCCGAGCCCTGGTTTAAGAGCTAGCTGCCGCACCAGATAACTGCTCAGGTCCCTCCAACAGCTGGAAGCAATTAGCTGAGTAGGCGGGAAATTGGGGGAGGGGGTCAGAGAGAGGGGGCGGTTCTGGCGCGGAGAAGGGCTGACAAGGAGGAAAGGTTTCCCAGCCGAGAAGACAGATGCTGGCTCTCTGTTGAGTGTGGGAGCTGGGTGTACCGGATGTAAGGGGCCCAGGCCTCTGGCGGCTTGCCCAGCCTGGGGGTGGGAGTCAGAGTCTCAGGAACTGGAGAGAACCCTCCCTTCTCTAGAAAACGTGAGGCAGGCTGAGGAGGGGGAGCGGGAGAAAGACAAGCCTTCCAAGACCATCCTCACACAGTACTAGGACTGGGAAGCAGAGTGGGAGCACAGTCATTGTCGTCCCCCAATGGGGTCGTAGATGGTCCGCTCTGCTCCTTGACAGCTTCAGAAGCATGAGCTGGAATGGGCTACTTTCCAGAGCACTGCCCTGCTTCATACATAGAGCACCTCCCTCCTTCCTAAAGGATCCCTTGCTGCAGAAACCACAGCTCTGATGTCTCCTAGGAGACTGGAAGGGGCTGGGACCAAACCTCAAAGGACGGGCTTGGGAGAGCTTTCCCACAGCACCCCAGTCTGTGGTCAGTATCCGTGTTATTCCTACTGCCTGGCTCCTAGAGGGATGCAATAAAAGGCTATGGCAAAAGGTTGTGGCATGGACGACTTGCCCCATACCCACGTTTGATGCTCTGAGCAGATTCCCAAGGAATATGAGACCCGCACATGGTGAGGGAAACAGGGACCTTTCTTCAGAACAACAGAGAAAAGGGGGCCTTCCCTAGTGCTAGCACCCTGAATTTGGACTGTGAGAGTAAATTTCTGTTGGCTAAAACCATCCACTTGTGGCATCTGGTACAGATGACTAGAGGGCTAAGACACAATGTTATGGGTGCTCCTGAGGTAATGAGAACTTCTTGGCCTCTCCCCTTTATGCTGACTGCAGAGAAGAGGGCTGATTGCAGAGACACTTGCTCTCAGGGATGGAGAGGAGGCTCCAGCACTTTCTTGTATAGGTGAGTGGAGGCCAGCCATGGCTCCACCCATAGCAATTGCTTTCACAAGCAGGTAAACTGGAGGGTGATTCACAGAGACAGCAGCTGGGTGTGGCTGGGCACTCCTTTCCATCCCAGTGACCCCTCGAGGGTCACCTGGACATGGAAATGGATGGAGACAGGATGGATGGTGGAAAACATTTTCTGATCTTTGTAGAGACCCTGGGGTTGGACTCTGAGTCCAGGGAGAGTTTTGGGGATGAAAGTTGTGAGCTCTGAATGTTGCTGACATCTAAAGCTGGTTTGGGCTTTAATGGGTGGGAAGGGGGCTGCAGGGTTAGGGGTTTGAGGAAATGAAGCAGAAACACTCTGAGGAGACAAGGGAATGGGAGGGTCATGCAGGGTACTCCTGCATCCCACAAGGATCCCCATGGCCCCTCTCCAGCAAAAGGCAGTCTGAACACTCTGAACTTGCAGCTTTCTGATCCCACCCCTGCCCAAAGAGTGGCTGTAGAAGGGTGTCCCCTGACCCCAGGAGGGATTTCTGGACACCAAGGAACCTCCTCTGCAAAGCTGGGGTCAGAAGTCAGCTCCTTCCCATTCCACATTCTGCACCCCCCCCAAGCCTTTATGCACTGGGACTGCTCCCCTGGAGTTGCTCTTTGTGAGGGACTCTGGCGGTGAGGAGGGGGCACAGCACAATGAACAAGTGGCAGGAAATGGCCCTGAGGCATCCCTAGAAGCAGCAGAGCAGACCCTGAGGTAGACCCCCACACTGCTCCAGTCAGGATGCAGGACACGTCCCCTGGATCCAGGACACAGGGGCCCATTCTTCCCAATGACTCTGCCACTTGGAGGGAGGGAGGCTGACTGCCCAGGCTCTGGACTGGGAGTGGTGTCTGCCTGCCCCCCAGCCTCTCAAGGGCCCCCCCCAGTCACAGTCATTGTCCCACTCCTGCTTAGAAGTAAGGAAGCACCCTGAGGTTGAGGATAATAGTTGAGTAGGGGGATCCCTATACCCTGCACCCCAGCCAGCACCCCGTCCCTGGACATGAGTGATGTCTGCCTCTGACCTCTCTAGCTGGGCAACCCCCAGCCTCAGTCTCTCCATCTGTGAAGTGGGATAGAGGGGATTACAGGAGAAAGGGCCGGGGCTGACTTGGACACAGACTCCATATTCTATGTTGACATAATCCATGTTCTCATCACTCTAGCTCCAAACAGCAACACACCCTATCCTCCCACGAGCTCTGGCCCAGTGCCCTGTCACAAGTCAGTCACCCCCAGTGGCAGTCACTCCCAGTCCCCTCAGACTAACGCCACCTCACAGGGAAGCAGGTGGGCAGCGTTGGCAGCTTCATAGACACGGCTGAACTCCTGGACTCGGGGGGCACAGCCCAGCCACGCCTCTCCAAAGCGGCTCCAGCCCATGAACAGGAAGGCACCAGGGCCAGGGTGCACCCCACAGTGCAGTGGGGTTCGGATGGAGGTTTGCACCCCACCCCCAGTCCCAGACAGTGACAGTGTGTGACGGAGGATGCGAGTGGCCGTCACTTGGATGACAGATTCCTGCAGTTCTGTGTCGTGGGTGACCCCCTGAATGGTCCCGTGGATCACTGTGGGAGAGACACATGGTGGTAGTACTCAAACAGGACCAACCCCATCAGCCCCCACCTTTAGAGGGACACTCACCAAAGTCGCCAGTGCAGGCAGTCAGAAGGAGCTCAATGTCACTGCAGGGGCGACAGGCACCTGGGAACACAGAGGTGGCTGCTCACCAAAAGGGCAGAGATTCAAAGCCACCAGCCGCACTGAGAAAGATGTGGCAGTCTGCTTCCGTAAGAATCGCAGCCTTGGCAACCCTATGGGGTGGCTCTACTCTGACTCAGAGTTTCTGTGCATCAGAATAGGGGCACTCTTGTGGCAAAGTCTGTGGGGTGCTGTGCTGTGGAATGGCTATCCACCAGCTGCCCCAATGAAGGAAGATGACATTTTTTTGATGAGTCAGAATCAACTCAGTGGGTTGATTGCAGTGGATTGACTAGAGTGGATTTTTAAAAACATTCAGCCCTGTCCCATTCATCCATCCTGGACCCACACATACCCCCTCCCCATTCATCTTTCCTGGATATACACACACATACACAACCCATTCATCCTGCCTCGACACACACATTACAGGAGGACTATGTTGAACAGCCAAGATTCCTCTTTCAGGTGCTAGACAGCTCAGGACCTGTGTGCATGCACCTTGCAGTCAAACCTAACATGGCGCATACTCTCAGGGCACACAGAAGGCACACTCTTTGCACGTGCACACTCCATGTCCTGTGACCTCCAGCATACCAGCCCGCTTAGGGTGGCAGGGCCTTGGGGGCCTGGGGTCAGGGGATAGAGAGATACACACACACACTCAGCCCATCTGCAGTGAGGTCAGGCTGCAAGAGCTGGGCCTGGTGCCCTGCGGGGAGGCTGCTGGCGTCTCCACAGCAACGGGCAGCACACTGGACTTTTGTGGGCTGGCTGGGGGAGGGGAGGGAGGTCATGGTTGGGCCGGAGTTTGTGGGCAGCTTTGATTTTTGTACGCTGGGTCCCCTTCTCCTCACAATCTCAATCCTCAGGGGCCAGGGACAGGAGGTTGTCTTGCCTGGTCACCCCTCCCTTCCACCAGCTCTTTTGGCTGAAGACACCCCAGGACCAGTGCGCCTTCATCCTTCCAGTCTCACTAGCTGTGTGGTCTTTGACAAGCTCATTACTCCTGCGGTCTCAGCTCTTTCACCTGCAAAATGGGCTAGATGCAGAATTCAGGCATAGTCTCCATTCAACAGTCACTTACTATCTGCGCTGAGGCCATGAGCCTGAGGCAACAACTCGGGGTGCTCGACCTCACGTAGCTCAAAGCGGAAGGCGGCCACTCTCCGGCTGATGTCGCCATGCAGTGTGGCCTGCAGGAAGAGGGCCCGGTGCTCACCAGGACCCCAGCGCACGCATCGACCCCCAGACAGGCCTGGAGCTTCTGTCAACAGCAGCACCAAGGAGCCACCCGCCCGCTCCACAAAGACCTGGGCGCCTGCGAAGTGTCGTGCAGGCCGCAGACAGGCGATAGCGGAACGCTCATCAGGGTCGGGGTGGCCCAGGGTGATGCGCAGCGCCCCGGCCGGGTACAGCCACTCCACCGTGCCCTCCGCACAGCTCAGGGCCAACGGCCGCACGCTGCCGGGCTCCTGGGTAAGGCCACTGCGAAGAGATGCGCAGCCGTGAGTCCTGGTCCGGCCCAGCCGCCCACCCCACCTTCCGCAGCCAACAGCCGAGCCCACTTGTGGAGAGGTAAGTTGAGGCACCGCATTCGCACAAGCAGAGAGTCGATGCCTGCCAGAAAACCCTCCATCTCAGAGTGGGCACAGCCTTGTCCCTTTGTGGCGGGGGTCGTACCTGCCAGTCCAACTGCAGCGGTCCCCAGAGTATCCGGCAAGGGCAGCCGCGGCCAGGAGTGCGCGGCAGAGTGCGCCCAGCAGCCCCGGGCGCAGCATGGCGAGCGGGGGCCCGGCCTCAGGAGCCAGCCGGAGAGCACTGGGACGGGCGGCGGCGGAGCACCGGGGCTCCAGCCGCCCGCGGCCGCTAGCCGGCCCGCGAAGCCCCCACATCACCTCGCCAAGCAGCGCGCCTGGCTAGAGGGGCGGCTACGGGAAGCCAATTGCGGCGTGACCCTGGAACTTTCCACCAATAGCTGCGGCACACGGGGCGGGGCCCGCAGCGGAGAGTGGGGATCCCCCTCCTGCTCTGGGTCGCTGGGTGGTCCTTCGCGACCCGCTCTCTCAGCCTTTTGGTCGTGCTGCACCTTCCTAATCGAGCCACTGTTCCCTTAATTTTGAGCCTCTGCAGGGTCCAATCATGGGCGCAGGAATTGTGCAAGGGAGACCTGCTCTCAGCGGGGCTTGGCCCCCCTTACATTGAACCCCCCCAACAGAGACTGGAGGTCCTCCAGGAAAAGGGGCGGTCACCTGAATGAGCGGGTTTTGCTAGGCTTGCCATCCACTTGCCTCTTGAGAGCTAGGCCCACGCTCCAGCCCCAGTTCCAGCCCAGAATCCGCGGCGGTCAGCCTCTAGGTAGAGGCTGACAGGCGGGAGGTGGCTTACGCCTGCTTTCTGAAACAGCCTTTCTCTCAGGGAATTGCCCAATGAAAAACGTGGCTGTCCCAGGCAAGGGGAATGAGGCATGGCAGGACACCGCTGATTACAGCAAGGACCCCACAATACCTGAACCAATGGGGACCTCCAAAGACCTACAAGTGGCCAGGGCCAGTGTGGAGAACAAGGGGAGACTTCCTGCCTGAGGGTGGGTAGTCAGGTGGAGGAGGGAGAGGGAGTTCCAAGAAGAGGAGACAAGAATAGGGCTCCCAGCTGCTGGAGGAGTAGGAAAGAGGCCACGGTTTGGATCACTAGAGGTCTTAACTATGGAGGAAGTCCAACCACTATTGATGGTGGCCTCAGATCAAGCCAAGTTTCTGGAGCTCCCAGACTGTGTGGAGTCTTTGTGGTGTAAATTCTCTCATCTCCTTTGCAGACCCTTCCCTTCCAGCCTGCCACCCTTGCAGCCTCTCATGGTCAGAGGTCTCCACAGGCAGTTCCAGATTCTGCCCTTTGCCCCACAGAAGGCAGGGTCCTTAGAGGAAAGATGAGCTCTGGAGCTGGGCACTTGGCAGGAAATTAGGACCTAGTGGAAATAGGGGGGAAAGCATCAGATACAGATTGTCCTTTTCTGAGGCCAGAGGGCCACTTGTGGGCATCCCTGAGGCAGACGTGCCTAGCTCTGGACCTGAGTCAGACTGTGAGCTCCAGGCGCCCTCTGGTGTCAGTATGAGGAATCAACAGACCTGCCTCAGGGCTGCGTATCTGGACCTCTTCAGGGCAGATGGGCCAGAGATGGTCATAGTCTAAGGAGGCCAGGTGGCCATTGAGCCAGAGCCAGCTATCTCATCTAACCTCATAGCCCTTTCTCTCTGCACCCTGGTGGGAACCTTTTGTCAGCAAAAGACATCAGTGGTTGTCTCCACAAAGCAATTGGCTGCGTGGCCTTAAGCACCATGGGCCACCTTATCTGATACATTCATTGAGCACCTACTATGTGCAGGGCCTGCCCTGAGGTCTGGAGTCACAGCCACAAATGTACAAGAATGTTCATGTTCAAGTGGAAACATCAATAATCCCAACAGCAGTAAGAGTAGCTTATGTATCTATTCCTGCCTGGCTCTGAGTTCCAGCCTCACAAACATGTGAACCAGAGGCATGTGTACCACAAGGGCCTACATGTGTGCTTGGACATGTCCACGTAGAGTTCCCATGCATGCACACACATAATATATGTATGCCTTCACACATACGTGCCCATGTGTGCATACATGTGCACACACATACATGCATGCAGGAGAGTTGAGTCAATGAAATGTCCCCTGCAGATGACAGTATGGCTGAGTGTCAGGAAAGGTGCTGTCTCAGTTCTCTAGCATTTCTACAGCCTGTTATACAAGTGGATGCCTGTGACAAACGGAACTTTATTCTCTCACAGTTTATGAAGCTAAAAGTCCAGATTCAGGGTGCTGGATCTAGGGGCAGGCTTGCTCTCTCTGTAGATTTTGGAGGAAAGCCCATGTGTCCTTCAGCATGCGTAGACCAAGTGTTCCTTGAAGATCCCTGTGTGTCCTGGCCTCCCCCAGGGTTGAGGGACTTCCCAGATTAGGGACCTGTGTCCAGAAGTACGCATTCCATCCACAAGGAGTCTTCCTTGGTGGTACTGAGATCCTCCCTCTCAGCTCACTCCCCTCCCTTCTTGTCTCTTATGAGACTAAGATGCCCCAATCCAGTCCATGGTCTTTGCAGTTACTTGCTATGCATCAGAGAGCTGGACAGTGACTAAGGATGACAGAAGAAGAATTGATGCCTTTGAGTTGTGGTGCTGGAGAAGAGTCTTGAAAATATCATGTACCACCAAGAAAACAAGTAAATCTGTCTTGGAGAGGGTGAATCCAAGTTTTTCTTTGGAGGCAAGGATTTTGAAGCTCAGTCTCACAGACTTTTGGCAATGTGGCCAGGAGGGATCAGTTCTTAGAGAGGGACATCATGCTTGGAAGGGTGGAGGAACAGAGCAGGAGAAGAAGACCGCAGATGAGATGGACTGACCCAGTAACTGGGGCAGTGGAATTAGGTGTGTTCGAGTTAGAGTTAGTGAGATTGGCTCATGATAGGGCAGGCTTCAGAGCTGTTGTACATAGGCTCGCTGTGAGCTATAAGCAACTTGATAACACATGACAACAACGTAGGCCACATCCCAGGGAAACTTCCTTTACAGATCAGGGCTGTGTTGCTTTCCATCCTTAATCCTGTTGCAATTACTGGGTGTATCAGACCCTGGAAGAATCATTACATAGTTCCCATATTTTATCAGTATCAACATATATTTTGAAAGGATATGACACAATTATGAAAGTGGCTCTGGAGGGTGAAGGATGAAAAGAGATGGCCATGATCAGAAAAGCACCTTGGCAGCAAAGCGACTGTTACAAAAAACAACTCTAACTCACACCAACACTGTGCTATTACATACTGTGGAGCCGAGTCTGACTCAGTGACCCTCTGAGTCAGACCCACAGGTCTGAACCCTGTATCCTGTGCCGTTCTCACCATCTCTAACATACTTGAGCACCTTGCTGCAGTCACTGTCTCAATCCATCTCCTTGAGAGTTTTCCTCTCTTTCCCTGTCCCTCCAGCTTTCCAAGCATGATGTTCCTTTCTAAGGAATAGCCTCGTCTAGCAACGTGCCCATAATATGTGAGACAAAGCTTCACCATCCTTGCCTCCAAGGAGCACTCAGGCTGCAGTTTCTCCAGCAACCCTAGAGGACAAAGTAAAACTGCCCCACAGGGTCTCCAAAGCTATAACTCTTTACAGAACCAGACAGTCTCATCTCGAACCAGTCACTTTTATGGTTAGTAGCCAGATACTTTAACCACCACAGCACAGGAAACAGCAAAAGACTCACTATAAGGAAGAATATTATCCAATCCCTGTCCTCTTCTGGGCAGACTAGGCCCCTGGGCAGATCCTAAGAGCCTCTGAGGTATGGAGATGGGGCCAGAGGTCCCCTAAATTCTGACCCCAACCCTTACTATAGCCAGGCATGTCAGCTCAGAAAAGGGTGAAGCAGCTACCCAATTGAACATATTTCAGTTCTATCACTCTAAGTTTCCCTACATTCTTCTCTGTCTCATATTTTTGGTCTTTCTCAACCCCTGTCTCTCTATCTGTCTTTTCCCATACCTAAGAACATAGGAAAAGTTTCCAGCCTGTTACTTCCCTAATTTTTGACATAGTGGCTGCAACACTGGCTCTTGCACAGCAGTGATAGTGTAGATGGTGCAGGGTAGGGCAGGGTTTCTCTCTGTTGTACACAGAGTCAATGAGAATCAGAATCCACTCAACAGTCATTGTTTTTATTGTTAGTACCAAGTCAGAACCAACTCACGGCTGACTCTCCAGTGGGTTTTCAGAGGCTGTAAATTGCATGGGAAGGAGATTGCCTAACTTTCTCCTGTAAAACAACTGGTGGATTTGAACCATTCACTTTTGGATTGGTGGCGTGGCTCATTACGATTAAACCCACAGAGTTCTCTAACTCAGTGGCATCTGACAACATCCATAATAAATTCCATGAGTTCTGTGTCTTCATTACAACAGAATCATGATCCCAGGAGCAGAGTAGCAAGAGTTGTGAGAGGGATAGTGCTAGAATTGAAGGCAGAAGGCATGGGAGTGTGGGGGCATGTCTGACATGACACAGTAATCAGCTTTGTTGGTATGCTTGATGGGGAGCCGTCCCCCTTGAGTGGAGGGTCACGTGCTGACTATTCTTGCTGTCAGCCTATACCTATGTGACAGATGTCCTTACAAGAAGAGAAGAGGACACATGAGGGAAGCCAGTCATGTGAACATGGAAGCAGAAATGGGAATGATGTGGCTACCAGCCAAGGACTGTCAGCCACAAAACTAGAAGAGATCCTAGGGACCAGGATTCAGACTCCCACCTTGAAAGCAGTGAGAATATACACCTTCTGGCTGTGGACAGCAGTCCAGGAGACCTGGATGCAGTACCTTTGGCTGCAGGTCTCAGCACGATCGCACCTGAAAACTTTTCCAAGTGGCCCAGGCATTTCCAAATAATGTAGTTCCTGTTTCTGGGGTCATCAGGGAGAACCTGGAGGAGCAGCCAGATGGAGGTCTGTGACTGGGGCTCTGACAGCCTTACCCAGTGCTACCTACTACCCTCACCCCCAAGCTGCTGGCCTCTGGCATCTCTCAGTATTGCAATTCAAGACTTGAATTTTGCTCTGTTCATATATGATTCTTGATTTCATCCCACAGTTTCTCTGGTCTTCGATATTGGTAATCAATGTCTCAAATCCATCTTAAGATGATTTTTTTTCATTTAGGCAGGATAGATTTAAGGTCATATTTTGGTTCTTGTGTGTTTGTTTT